TCCCCGTGTGTTAATTGTATCGAGGCCAAGACTTGTCAGTCATCTTTTTCTTCAAGTACCACAGAGTATGATTCACCCTTTGATTTGATTCATATAGATCTCTGGGGGGCCCTCGCCGGTTACTTCTCGTATGGGTTATCGATACTTCGCTTTGTTCATTGACCATGCTACTCGCTATGCCTGGATTTATTTCCTATGACGTAAGTCAGAGTTGATCGATCATGCCATGGCTTTTGTTCATATGATCCGTACTCAGTTTGGGAAGACTATCAAGGTTATTTGATCTGATCCTGGGGGTGAGTTCAGCTCGAAGCCGTTGATGACTTTCTATCGTGAACATGGCTTTGTTTCACAGCAATCGTGTCCTGGTGTATCACAACAAAATGGCTTGGTGGAACGCCGACATCGTCACGTGCTTGAATTAACACGTGCTCTTCTTCTCCAGTCGCAGGTTCCTAGTGGTTTTTGGGTTGAAGCTATTAATGTTGTGGTATACTTGATCAATCAACAGATCACTTCTACTCTACATGATCGATCTCCATACTTCTGCCTCTACTCCAAACAGCCTGATTATTCGTGGTTGAAGGTGTTTGGTTGTGTTTGTTTTGTTCTTCTCCAAAAGAAAGACCGTCACAAGCTTGAGTCGAAGACGGCTCGGTGTGTTTTTATGGGTTACATCGATCGTCATAAGGGGTATTTGTGCTATAACCCTATTGACAGGCGGATGCGTATCTCTTGCCATGTTGTTTTTCTTGAACATGTGATGTTCTATTCCATTCCTTCTCAGGAACATCTACCCACTATGGACTTCTTGCGGCCGCTCCCTGACTTTGACACATCCCCATCACTGCCTCCTCCCCATCCAGTTCCCGACGACGTGGATCCTCCATCTCCACCTGCTACTCCCTCAGTTTCCCTCCAATCCTCGTCAATGGGTCCCGGGTCTTCTCCTTCTAGCAACAGCAGCCCTGAGTCGATGTCTTCTTTTAGTACTCATATGTCATATGACTCGTCTTCTAGTTCAGCTGCTCCTTCGCCGCCATCTAATCCGCCTCTTCCGGTCCTTCGTCGCTCCACACGCTCCACACTTGGTCAACCTCCTCTTCACATGCAGGATTATGTTGGTTTTTCTGCCGAACCTATTCCAATCCCAAGTCATTATCGTTTTGTAGTAGGCCATCCTGAATGGGATGCTGCTATGAAGGTTGAGGTTGATGCTCTTGAGGCTAATACAGCTTACATGGATATTTACATTTTGGTACTCTTAATTATAAATCAAAAGAAAGACCATAATGACTCTGCAAATCGCTCTAGAGCATAGACGATTTATTGAAAGACTACAAGTTTAAGGTGAAAGTATATTCATATGTGAGTGAAGATATTAGTATGACTATCATTAGTGCTAATTTGTTTTATTTATATGATTCACAGAGTGAAGCAACTTTTGGCATCAATGGTTCCTCTCGTAAGAACATGAAACTTCGATATGAAAGTCACTCGTACACCACTCCACAGAAGGATCATGTAGCAAGAAAATGATTATTTACTGTTGATAACGACGAAGATGAATCTAATTATCTAAGAGTCCTTACGAAAAGCACGGAGTAAGTTTAAGTTACATATTGATATATTAAATAGAGAATGTGTGTTTCTTTTCATACGTTACTTCAATTTAACTCTGAGTTGTAGGTCATGAAAGTGGAGGGGCTATAAGAATTTAGGAAACATCTGCAAAATTCAGTAGAAAACTTGTTTTATGTCGTTACTAAAGAGAAGGCTAGAGACACCAAATGGTACAAGAGAAGTTTTAAAAAAATAGTACATCTGGTCGACCATTCCAACAATCAGGTCGACCATTTTGCTCAAATTGGTCACCATAGCAGTTAATAGGTCGACCGTTGTGTCCAAGTCACAATTGACATTTATGTTATTCCATTTTTGTTGTAGTTTGGTTGTTATTGACTTTGTCCAAGAAAACTTACAATGGAAATATTTGAGTTCAATCATTAGCGAGAGTAGTTGGATTCAGTGGCGGACCCAAAAAATTTAGATAGGGGTGTCCTCTTTTAAAAAGTAAATTTTAATAAAAATAAATAAATAAATAAATAATAAATAAGAAAATACCTGAAATTTCACGATGTGTTTTCATATTTCAAAATAATTGTAGAATACACTTGGATTCTATACTGCTGAAAAAGATTGTCTATGTATGTTCTACTAGACAATCATTCACGAAATAATCGCATATTCGATTTCTAAACTTGTTCTTGATGTAACCCAAATTGAAAATACTCTTTCAACACTTGTCCTACTACCATAAAATCAATGTGAATTAAGGGTAGTTTGAAATTAGTTTAATTATTAGATTTTGAAAATAATTAGAGATCGAAAATGACATTTACTATTTCATAGTGTTTAAAATTGAACAACAAACAAATTGTAGCCTAATAGAAATTATCTTTATTATTAATAATAGTGTTCTAGTTTTGAATTACCCAAAATTACCACTTATATTCACATACGGAAACTAAAAAATGATAGTTGGATCATCATTTTTTCAAATTTCAGGGGTGTCTCCCACTATTAATTATATTTTTTTTGTCCATACTTAAATTACAACCGGGGATTGAAAAATTATTTTCTCAAAATTTAGCGGTGTCCCGGGACACCCCCAAACACCCTTGGGTCCGCCCCTGGTTGGATTTGCTCATTCGTAAGTACTATAGTGCTACGACTTTGGTATGAGTTGTGCACTATTTATGTTATGACTTACGAGGATTTTGTGGTTGATTGTTGAATTGTAGTAGTGGATTTGTGTACAATGACACTAACAATGTCTAAAATAAATGAAAATAAAGGCCAAATGTGTGGTATTTGCCAAATATGTTTTCGGTAAGAGTTGTAATTCCTCATTTTTTGTAATAACCTAGTTATTAATACCATGTCAATTCATTTCAATAAAAATATGGTGGAGAAAATGGTAGGACGTAACTTCAAAAAAAAAACGTGACTTCACGATCGAAAAAATTCGTAACAAGTTTCTTAATGAGGGCGTTGTGTTTATGCAGATTGTTAGTGCATGCTAGAAGGTTAGCAAATGGTTGTATCTTATTAAGGTTTCAAAGTGCATTTGTTTTGTATATAATTTTATAACATACTTTTCCTTGGTAGATATTTATCCCAATTTTGGACGATGACACACGTCATTGATTTCTGTATCTCGTTAATGTCCAGCAAAAAAACAGTATTTTTGCTTGACATTTTACCATCAACTAGCGAGGCGGTTCGTAAACGTAAATCAAACCACTGCAGGAAATGGTAAGTGTTTCCTATAAGATTCCCCATGCTAAGTGTCATGTGTACTGCTAGATGCATATGATATTTGTTGTTTATGTATAGTTATCCAAACTGCATGATATGTTCAAACCGGAGCGCATGAGCAATGCAGCAGTACCAAATTTTGAACAATTCAAAATCGAGGAGCTACGCGCTGAAGAGCAAAGGAATGGTACCGAATGTGGTGTGCACGTGATGCAGTGGATTTAAGTGATGAGTTTGGTTTAAGAGTCACAAGGCATGAGTTCAATTCAGTTACATCCCTGAAAAAGATGAGATTTGAGATGCATGATGGTGTGTATGTCAAAGCATACAATTCTTATGTAGTCTAGGATGATGACGATGAAGATGATGAAGAGCCGAAGACGAGATAATGGCGCAACCACAAAGTTCAACTCCACCATTCACCATCGATGCTATATGAATTAAACTGCATGAATGACATGAACGATTACATGGGTCAGATGTCCAGTTAGATGAGCACACTACAGGTGACTGTAACATAGATGCGAGCTGAATTCCGACCTTTCAATGGAAGATACATGCATCCCACCTTATCCGACTACCATAATGCAACACCAATGAGAAAAATGCGAATGAGTGAGAGGAGAGGGGAGAGTTCTAGGAACTCCATGATTGTAGATTGTGTTTTTGTATTGTTAAATTTGTTAAGTCTTAAAAACGATTTGGTTTAAAATAACTATGATCGTGGATTGATATTAACCAGTTGTGGTTTTTCATTTTAGGTATGTGTGAACTATTGTGAGGTGTGTTTTATTATATTTGGTCTTGGTGTGTTAAGTTGTTAGGAAGTATGGTTTTTTGCTATTATGGTTGTGGATTGAACATGTTGGTTTCACTCTCGTAATTTGTACGACCAAACAAAGTACACACATAGACAAGCATAAGCAAAAAACTCGAAGCTCGTAGCTTGATTATACTTAACCGGTCGAACTTTTACTGTATGTGGTCGACCGCGAAACCATCACTTTCGTCTACATTTCACTTCAAGTGGGATTGATGGATGGATAGTAGTTTAGTCTTCTTCTATCTGATCGACCATGTCTCTGTTACGACCGACCACTTCGGTAATGACTGCAATAAAGTGGTCGACCTCCTCTCGTTTACGATCTACTATTTTGCTTATGACTACATTAAAAGGTCGACCATTTTCGTATCAACTAACTTAAAATGGTCGACCACTATATGTTACTGATCGACCGTTATTTTTCATCAGCGTGACTACGATTGTGCAACCGATCGACCGCAATTACTTATAGGTCGACCAAATTGTGCAAGTTATGATGACTTGCGAGAAACTATAAAAGACTAAACTTATATTTCCTCCAAATTTCATATTTTTTTAAGACAAAAAAAAAAAAAGAAAAAAGAAACGCGTCTGTTTGGGAGCGTTTTGAGTTTCGACGTGATTCTTTGTACTAGTTCGGGTTGACGCCTTCCTTAACCACAGCCCGAAACTTAGCTACCAAGACTCCAACCGGACAGTCCCCACCGTCTTCCCCTCCTCGCCTCAATACTAACGCCGTGTTCCCATCCTTCCAAATCACACGTCTATATCTCGTGCCTGCCTCCACCCTCTCCCGTTCACACGTAGGATCGCGTTTCCTATAAATACCGCAACCTTCATTTTCTCACTCCGTCAATCAACCAGCCAGCCACTAAACAAAGAAAGTTCTCCTTCTCAATTACGCCGTTTCGCTCTCCGTCTCCACGCTTCCCAAAACCTTCCCCCTGTTTCCTTTCCCCGATTCCGATCGCCCGCCTTCCTCCGCCTAATTAGATTCCGGCGATAATGGCTGAAGCAAACGGTAACCCCGCCACGCCTGCTCCACTGGTACGAATCCCTCCTCGATGCTCCTAAACTCCTGTTTTATATTCTCCTGGATTACTGTTTGATTGAGAGGTTTTTCTCTGGCGGAAATTCGGTCGAGCTGCTAAGGAGCTTTTAATTAGGGCGTAGGACGATTTTCTGAATCGCTGTAATCGTTTCGTCCTCGGCATGGAAAGCTCCGCTGAATTTTCAGTATCGAATTTTCGAGAGATGTTTGAATTTTCTTTTTTGTTTAATTGTTTTGTGCAGACGAAAGAGGAGGAGGAGGAGAGGCTGAAGTACTTGGAGTTTGTCCAAGCAGCAGCGCTTCACGCTCTGGTGACGTTCACGAACCTCTACGTCTACGCCAAGGACAAGGCCGGTCCGTTGAAGCCTGGTGTGGAGACCGTCGAAGGAACTGTTAAGACCGTGGTTGGCCCTGTTTACGATAAGTTCCAGGACGTTCCCATTGAAGTCCTCAAGTTCGTTGATCGCAAGGTGATCAGTCTTCTCACTCCCCTGCAACTTTGCCTCTCCGTAGTGTTTTTTAACATAGCGATAGTAGATTTCAACATCAGGGGGGATTTGCATACCGTTATTGGGATTAAAGTAGCTCGCTTGTGCCTATTTGATTGAGTTGATTAACTGATTCCATGCGCAACTCATTTGGGCTTGAAAGTTCGTTTACTGTTTTTGGGAGAATTCCTTAACAGCTTGTTTGGATATAATTCTGTTGGAAAATGAATTCCATTTCTTGTGAGAATCTGAATTCAAGTGAGAATTCATTTTAAAATTTTATGTTTGGAACAAATCCAAAAGTTTGGGAAATGATTTCATCTTTTTATGTTTGGAAAAAATGGAAATGATTTCTTACAAGTGCTTTTACAATAATATCCTTGGTATTAGTAATTTCAAATCCAAAAGTAGTAAGGGCTTTCTTGTAAAGGTGAGTCAAAATTAATGTGGGGTCCACTAATTCCATCACCCCCTCCACCAATTCCGACCACTTTTGGTAGAAATTAGAATTTCCTACTTTTTGCCTTTTGGAATTCCATTTCCTTTTTACTTTTTACTTCCAAACATGAGAATCATGGAAAGTTTGGGAATTGGAATTCCATTTCCTCAAAATTTAGCCTTTCCAAACAGGCTGTAAGATGGTAATAGTCTTTTGATATAGGAAATACTGCTGAGTTAGTGACTTCTGATCTATTGAGCCATTGTCTGTTACTATTTGCTTTCTGCAACTCATTAGTTTTAAGAATCTAAGTGGTATGATTGATTCTTGGTATGGGTGCCATGATTGTTTCCTTTTGGTTGATATTTGTTCTCGGGTAATCAATTTTCGCCCATCCTTTTGATCACATGCTAAAGTAGTAAAGTGGTCCTCCATTATGGGACAACCATCTGCTTATGTTTATGAGGTGAAATACATGGATGTGTTATCTTATCTTCTTCAACCATGATGAACCTTTTCCAGAACTCATGGACCACAGTGGCTGTAAGCCTCGGTCTCTATCTGAAAAGAAACGAAAAGGGTTACACTCATTTAATCCTTTCTCATGCTTTCTGTCTCCCCCTTTGTTGAACAGGTAGATGAATCTGTTACTAGCATCGACCGCCGTGTGCCACCTGTTGTCAAGCAAGTATCGGCCCAGGCATTCTCGGCAGCACAGGCTGCCCCGGGAGCTGCCCGTGCTGTGGCCACCGAGGTTCAGCGATCCGGTGTGAAGGAAACCATGACTGGGTTGGCGAAAACCGTCTACACCAAGTACGAGCCCAAGGCGAAGGAGCTGTACACGGCGTACGAGCCTAAAGCCGAGCAGTGTGCTGTCTCGGCCTGGCGAAGGCTCAACCAGCTTCCCCTCTTCCCTCAGGTGGCTCAAGTGGTCGTCCCATCGGCTGCTTACTGGTCCGAGAGGTACAACGAGACAGTGGCCAGCACTGCTGAGAAAGGTTACAAGGTGTCTTCTTACTTGCCTCTAGTGCCTACTAAGAGGATCGCCAAGGTGTTCAGTGATGATGCTGCAGCAGCTCCACAATTGATTTCTAACTGAATGGTTGCCAAGAACCCCCTCTGGAATGGGGACAAAGAGGGTTCTACGTTTGTGGTCTTTGTTTTAGTTATGCGCTTTGTTTTGTGAAGAATGAATGACCATTGTGGTCTTGTTACAGTGTGTTGGAGTTGGTTCTGTTAGCTTTTTAGTTCTGTTAGTGGAACTCTGAAAGACTCCTCTTTCTTATGTGAAGAATCCTCAAATGCAATGGAAGTTTGCTGTGGTGTTACTCAGTTCTTTGTATCTGTTGTCAGTTTTCTTCTCAAGTCAGGAATACATTCCCTGCTCAATTGACATTTTTCCACCACTGGGCCTGGTTCGATAAATAAGAGCATGTACAAGGTTCCGCTTGCTCAAATAAGAGCAAATATGAATCTTTAAGGGTGGAAATCAGCGTTATCGTGTGCATGTACAACTTTCCGCTTGCTCTCCGACTCGTCTGATGCTGTGTTTGTGGAATCGCTAAAATTTTATCAATATATGAAACGGTTGAATCGCAATTGCGGTTTAACTACAAAGTAGTCAATCATTACAATTTCTGGTAGGCTTTTACAAATGCTTGGTCTGATCTCACGCAAAGTATATACACATGTAGTTAGTAAATACTTCGTTTAATACACTTATATGTACCCACACGTAATTTATCCGTTTAAAACTTCCGTATCCGTATTATTGTCAAGTCGATTAATTTTTTTCCATTTATTTGATGGCTCCCGTACTAAACACATATAAAATCCGTATAACACGTTTAATATCCATATTTAATGAATTAAATTGTTAAATTTTCTATTATTTATATATTTATTTATTATTAAAATAATTAATTTTATGTATTTATAACTATTAACGTACTATTAACTTTAATATTAGTTTAAAGACAACGTTAAATACCCGTACGTATCTTATACGTAAGTTACCGTATCTTACTAATAATAACACATCACATGTACTTTGTTCTGTGTTTGTAGGCTGAAGCCCGCCAAGGCAGGCATTCAAAGCCCAAGCCAAAGCCCAACCTTTAGTATGCGGCATCGTTTCATTTCACCGTTTAACCAACTGCCACGCTTGAAGTTGCAGTAGTCCATTAATTTCAGAAGGGTCGGACGAATGAGACCCCTCCGCAATCTCAATCCGCTCGACCAGCATTCATTTCCTGTCAAGAGAAAATCTCAGCAGTAGAAGAAGCGCAGAAAAAGAAAAAAAAAATCAATCTGAGCTATCACAAGTAAAGCCTGGTTGCTTAAGCCATGGCGGCTTGCTTGCGAGTGCTCCCGGCGGCTTTCTCCACACCGTCTTCCGCCTCCAATTCGTCTTCTCTCCGAAGGAGGAGCTTCAAGATAGGCTGCTCCGCTACTGGTTCCAAGAACTCGGCAAGAATCCCTATGCCGCCGATTAATCCCAACGATCCTTTCCTCGCGAAGCTCGCCTCCGCCGCCGCCAATTCTCCCGAGCCGCTCCACGCCCGTCCGTCCAACTCCGACTCGCCGCCGTACCTCGACCTCTTCGACTCGCCCAAACTCATGGCGACTCCCGCTCAAGTAAGCTCTCGAGCTCTTCTTGCAGTCCCGAGTGGTTCTAGTTTGGTTCGTTTTTCTGATTATTCGCGGAATTAGGTGGAGAGGTCGGTTTCTTACAACGAGCACAGGCCAAGAAAGCCACCGCCGGACTTGCCTTCCTTGCTGCTTCACGGGAGAATAGTCTACATCGGGATGCCTGTAAGTTGATTGAATGAGAGACTGTTTCCTGGAATTTAACTTCAGCCTGTTCAATTAATTGCTGTTCTGCCCTATACGCTTTCTTTCATTGATTTTCTCTGTGTTGTCAAATCTTGTTGATGTTTGGTTGTGCTTGCGTTCAGTTGGTACCGGCTGTCACGGAGCTCGTAGTTGCAGAATTGATGTACTTGCAGTGGGTGGATCCTAAAGAACCAATCTATATGTACATAAACTCCACAGGGACTACTCGTGATGATGGTGAAACAGTAAGCATTGCTTCTCAGTATCACTAATGATGTACTCTATCGTTTGAAGGTTTTGATCTGTTATTGAGCGAAGGATCATTGTATCCACGTTATGCTTCATCTGCTGATATTGACAACGCTGTAGTCCGAGAAATTGTTTTTGATTGTGTATTGAACTGTCAAAATGAACTGAATGAGGGAATGTTAGTCTTCACTGTATTTCGTTCTTATCAGTTCCATGTAGGTATCAGACCTCTGCTTAATCCACCATTTCTTTTTTTTGCTGCAGGTTGGGATGGAGACAGAAGGTTTTGCCATCTACGATTCAATGATGCAAATGAAAAATGAGGTGAGTTTCTTAGCGAAGTTATGCAAAATGCACTGCGCTGCTGGGCACCCTCTTCTCTCTTTGGTTGACACTTTTCTTAGAACTGTAGAGTAGTTTAGATAGCTAAATACGGGGGAGATAGGTTGAACTCATCTAATGATATCCTGATTAGATCCACCAATGCAACACTCTTTGAATGGAATGGGCTGGTTTGTTTGGTTAGTGGCTGACATGAGTGATGTTGTTGCTTCTATAGATACACACTGTTGCTGTTGGTGCTGCTATTGGCCAGGCTTGTCTTTTGCTTGCTGCAGGAACAAAGGGAAGGCGGTTTATGATGCCGCATGCCAAAGGTTATTATCCTTGTGCTTCTTGCCCAGTTCTGAGCTACCTGTTCTCTCATCTAATTGATTATTGGGCCAACCTTCATTTCAGCAATGATTCAACAGCCGAAAGTCCCATCTTCGGGTCTGATGCCTGCTAGTGATGTTCTAATCCGTGCGAAAGAGGTTAGTTGGATCCACTTAATCTCTGGTCAGCAGTTAAACAGCTGATATTGGTTTTGTTTTCTGTCTTGTTTGCTTTATTGCTTTCCTTCTATTTGATGGGCCAATTTGTTATGTTTAATTAATATATAGAGGCGATAAGAAAATGTGATGAAACAATTCAAATTCAATTTGAGAACCATAGATTCCTATGATCTCTTACAAGTAAAGATGGGAAACTTTCATAGAAGATATGCTAGGACTCTTTTAGGTTGGTTTGTGAATCATGCCTTAAGTAGTCATGTCTTTAGAAATGGGGCGTCGCCTTCTGCAGGCTATAACAAACAGAGTCACTCTCGTTTGATGATCTATATCTGTTGGAAGACTCGAATCTGGGCAGATAAATACAAACTTTGTGCATAATTTAGAATTCGTGATCTATTCATGTTTCATCACGGCAGGCTATATCAAACAGAGACACTCTGGTTGAGCTTTTGGCCAAACACACCGAAAACGTGAGTATGCTTTCACTAATCAATACTTCTTCCTTCTCAATTGTTCTTCTACACTGTGCTGAGGAATATTCTGGGAATTGATTGCACAATTTTATCTTCAATCAGTCCGTGGAGACCGTGGCTAACGTGATGAAAAGACCGTTCTACATGGATGCCAAACGAGCCAAAGAATTTGGTGTCATTGACAAAGTAAGTCCACACTTGAAATGGTGTGTTTGTTTTCAGCTTTGCTAAATAGTAGGTGATTTGTTTCCCCTTTTTCGCTTGGCTTGAAGTCAAGGAAAAGTGTGGTTGGATTTTAGTAAAAATGGAGTTGATGGTTGGATTTAATTCAACTTTCTTCTTTCAAGTTAGTTTTTTAGCCAAAACAAACAACATATTGATATCCCATCCATGTTCAAGCTTATATCAAGCTCATCCATTTGATCTCTAATGCTCTGCAAATCGTCCAGATTCTGTGGCGCGGACAGGAAAAGATAATGTCGGACATTTTGCCTCCAGAGGAATGGGACAAGCTGGCTGGCATCAAAATCCCAGATCCCTTCTAGTTTCCGGTCTGATTGTACTGGGACTTGTTATCTTGTAAACAAAGTTCGATTCCTCAGCTTCCATGGCCTCAAGAGCATGTAATGTCCTGGAAGTTTTAGTTCTCAGTAGCTGGCTATTGGTTTTTTGACAGACAAGGGAAAGAAAGAACACATTGGTCATTTGTAGTGCCTGGAGAAGATATAATTGGATGGTCATTGTTACGTTGATTACCTGAATATCATTCTGATTACATATCGCAAATTCGTGTCTAAATTTGTGATGTATAAGCTAGATAGCTGACATGGCGAGTAACAAGTTAGTTTTCTGGTGAATCGCTTTCTAAAAGACGTGAATCAGGCAAAGTTATATGCACGGTCTTATACTCTTAGGGTGCGTTTGGATACAAGGATTTGGATTTGGTATTTGTGATTTGGATTTTCAAATACCAAATCATGTGTTTGGATATTAATTACATTTGGTATTTGGATTTGTGTCAAATTCATGGGGTGATTTCCAAATACATGTCTAGTGTATTTTTTGTCAACTTCAAATACATATCAACAACTAGTGATTTGAAATACCTCCTAACAAAAGAATGGACCTATTTGTAAAATATGAAAAGTTTAGGTACTATAGTGTGAGGCAAAACATATAAAGGTACCAAAATGTAATTTTACCATCAAAATTTCAGGACCTTTTTGCAAAATTTTAAAAGTTTAGGTACTAAATTGTAAGAAAAATAATTTTGGGTACCAAACTGTAATTTACCAAAATTTGTAGTAAGTGACCAGAAAATTAAAAATTGAAATTGAAAATCATAAATACAAAAATACAAACAAATTACAAATGAGTATCCAAACAATGAATTTGAATTACATGTATTTCAAATGCTAATACTTCAAATACATCCATTTCAAATAGAGGTGGCAATTAGGATGCAAATCCATGAATCCAATCCAATCCATCCACCAAATTATCCACCTAATCCAATCCATTTAAATCCAATCCATTTGATCCAAATCCAATTGGATTGGTGGATTCATGGATCAATCCATGGATCCAAATGGCAAATTACGATTTGGTACCTATATATTTTATATTTTACATTTTGGTACCTAAAATTTATATTTTTATACGAAAAATATCACTGGAAAATTACATTTTGGTACCTAAAAATTTTCATTACGACATTTTAGTACCTAAACTTTTCAAAATTTACATTTTGGTCCAAGCCTTGGATGTCATTTGGATTCATGGATCAATCCACCAATCCATTGGATCCAATCCATGAATCCACCAATCCATTGGATCCAATCCATTTGATCCATGGATCCACCAATCCAATCCACGAATCCACGAATCCGATCCAATTGCCACCTCTAATTTCAAATGCTAGTATTTCAAATACCTTACATTTAAAATACACTTATCCAAACGCACCCTTATAGACGTATTGGGTTGAGTGCCCTCAATTTTATTTGGTCTCACTTTTCTTCTTGTTTTGAGGTGAGGGATGATTTCCTTTCCTACGAATGAATGGATATAGCCTTCTCATCAACAATACTAACTATTCTTCCAAGGTTGTGTTGCATTCCTTGGAGCCCCTTTTAAGTATACTACTATTCTTGTTCTCAAACTACTATTTAATCAATAAAGATGGTTGGGTTTAAATGTGGAATAATAATCTTACTAAACATGAAACGAACCAAAATTAACTACTAGAGATATCACTAGAGATAGGTTGTTGTTTAGGTTGAATTTCTCTAGCTATAAGTTGACATAGGTTGAATGTAAGTCAACGAAAGGCTTCTCTATCTTCTAAATTGCAAAGAATCATCCAGATTAGTGATTAAGCCAATGATTCTTGCACTTAATCACTCTCAGATAGCTAGGTTGGTTCAATGGTCATGTAACCGACCAGATACCTAGAGTATTAGGGTTATACTCCTTAAACATAAACAAATGAAGCTGCAACCCAAAGTTCATGCAATGATAACTCCACTTTATTAATATGTGTTTCTAGTTCTTGACCTAATTAGATGATCTCTCTCTTAGGTCAAGAAACCCTAAAATCAAAATACTCAATATAATCATATGGAATTCATGAATATAGATATATGAAATAGGTTAACGCAGAGAGTTCATTTTCCTAAATAACTTAGAGAAGTTAGAACATAGAGATAAAGAGTTTACAAAGAGCTAGATCCATATTCTCCTTCTTGACATAGCCACCCATATTGAATGGTGAAAGAATTTGAGGTTGATTTGGTGAAGAAATTTCTCCAAAACTCTTTAGGCTCGTTAGTCATCACTCTCACTCTACATCTTCACATAAAATGTTCTCTCTTTCTATGATGCACCCTTTATGAGAAACAACCCCTTTTATTTATAAGGTCTTTCACATGTCAAAACTTACGGTCTAGTGTTCACGGCCATGAATTTTAACATGAGGTTGTGAACTTTACTTGGGAAGGCCAAGTTCACGAAATGTGACAAAAGTTAATGGCTGTGAACTTTGACATGAGGTAGTGAACTTGAAATTTATAGCATGGAACAAAATTTCATGACCTGAAACAAAAGTTCATGGTTGTTAAATTCATCTGACGGTCGAGAACACCCCCTTCCTTTGCTGAACGCCAAGCTGGCCGCTAGACTTACTAATTTTTTCTCTTTGGACCCTTCAAACTATCTTCAAATGGCTCGAAACTTGGCACAAGCCTCCCTCATCATGCCAAGACTTAAAATTAGGACAGAAAATACAACCTAACATATAATAGAATAAGAATGAGCAAGTTACGAGCCAAATGGCCAAAGACCGATAGCAGTTGTACTTAGTCCTAGGATATCAATATTTAATCATATATAGCACAATATGAAGTCAAAATGGTCGTAGTACGAGGAGTATGGATTTTGAACACCTAAGAAATAGGTCTTAAAATATGCGTAAATTAAGTGCGATCAAATCTCCCACACTTCAGGTTTGCTTGTCCTAAAGCAAAGATGTGCTTCAGTAGTGCAACTCGACCCTTTCTAATTTTTCGTATGCAAGGTGAATCATTAGGAGTGAGTTGGTGGCAACGTTCTAGCAACTTTCGATGAGATAATTCTCAATTTGGTGAGTCTAATTTCACGAGAAGTTCGAAGGGCAATGCTCTCAAGTGAAGGTAGATAGGTGTGTGGTGCCCAAGTGGATTCTTGGTGTAGGTTATAAGCCGAATGAATGCTATTTACGGTTTTTTTTCTCGGTTCCCCTACAATCTCTTATTCCTTTTTGTTTTTTAGGTTGTAGCAACTTAAATTTTTTGGTGTTTCTAACTAGGCAATAGAGGTCAGTGGCGGAGGCAGGATTCGGAACTACCCCTGTCCTTTTTCAAAATATAAAAATATAAATATTTAATAATTAAAATTAAAATTAATAATATCCAAATAATTCATTAATAGATAAAGAAATAAGCGATTAATACAATTATTGTTTGCATAAACAACCACGACGAGTTTTCATAGTATGAAAGAATTACAAAATACATTAATTATTTACACTCTTAAGTGAGCCTCTTTCGATATTCCCACTAAACAATCATTAACAAACTGATTATCAATTCAACTTCGAAACTTGTTCTAAATATATCAATCTAAAAATGTTCTTTTTACGTTCGGAGTTGCAGCTGGTAGTATCAAAACTAATTTCAGAAGCAAATAAACTGACCAATATAACCTATGCACTTTTGTCTCCACCATGATCTGAGATCATTTATCAATTTCTTTCCATCCAACAAATCTCTCATCAGCCATAAAATCATTATAATACCCAACAATCTGTTGTCGAATAATAGTGTCATGAATGAAACCAATAAATTAATTATTCTTTGACAATTAATGAACAAATAGTGAATTATAGTGTAGTGGCAACATATCCTTATATTACTTGTAGGTGTTAAGTTTATTCTCCGTTCAAACATATATTTAATTATTTTTTCCCCTTCCAAAATTTGCCCCTGTTCTGGGACAAGGGCAAACTACCTCCCTCCGCCTATGATAGAGGTCCTATGCATTTTGCTTTCTTTTCCCCTACATATACCTCTACTAGAGGTGGCAATTAGGATCCAAATCCATGAATCCAATCCAATCCATCCACCAAATTATCCACATAATCCAATCCACTTAAATCCAATCCATTTGATCCAAATCCAATTGGATTGGTGGATTCATGGATCAATCCATGGATCCAAATGGCAAATTACGATTTGGTACCTATATTTTTTATATTTTACATTTTGGTACCTAAAATTTATATTTTTATACGAAAAATATCATTGGAAAATTACATTTTGGTACCTAAAAATTTTCATTATGACATTTTAGTACCAAAACTTTTCAAATTTTACATTTTGGTCCAAGCTTTGGATGTCATTTGGATTCATGGATCAATCCACCAATCCATTGGATCCATGGATCCTCCAATCCAATCCATGAATCCACGAATCCGATCCAATTGCCACCTCTAACCTCTACCCATGTGGAGAGGGTACGGCTTAGGGATAACCAACCTTTGAACGACTTCTAAGTTCTAACCAACTCTAAGTAGGGTCCAAGGCACATCACCTTCATACATGATATTCCAATCAGAAACAATTATATGCATGAGTTGCCCTCATTGGAGCGAGCGAGGACATCCTTAGGGTCTAATACATACAACTAGTGTGGGCCCCGGCCAGTTGGCCGGAGGAAGGTGAGGTATGAAATTTGATAATATAATGGGGTGTATAGCTTATTGTTGTATAGTTTTTTTTAGGAAATTCGTGATAAAAGTAGTCAATTTTAGCAGGAAAGAGACATGAATGATGCAATGAATCAAAAATCGGTCTTATGAACCAAAATCAAGTACATATTACCTTGTGAAACAATATTGTTTCTGGTAATATGATGAGGTGGAGTAAGTTTTATAGAAACCGAATTCCAGAAAATCGAATAAAAAATCGCTTATCCCGTCGGTTTTCGGGAAATGAGCATCTCACAATCGTTGCTAGCTTTTACTCGGCCCGTTGGTCAATTAATTTGCTTTATAAAACTTTCATCTTGTCGTCATTGTGCTTTCTGGTTTTTGTTAGGCCATGATAAAATCTAAGGAAATCAAGAACGAATAACACAATTTGGGATAGGAACCGCCGTTGTCGTATCCTAGAAAATGGTGGTAAACACAGACTCACCTGCCAAACTGGTTTGGATTGAGATTTTTATCGGGTATCAGGAAACCATGTGATTATAAATTAGACTTGATCAAAACGGGCCAAAACTTGAAATTCAGCATGTTTGACCGACCCATGCCAAATTCTAATTGTTCTTTACTTTTAAACTTTCTATTTGAAAATAAAAAATAGTGAAAGAAAAGAGATGACTGCAATTCGCCATTTGCACATCACTTATTCGAGAATAAAACC